GCCAGAGTAGCTGGGTGAGACTATTATTTATAACAGTTCAAGTTTCACTGTTTGCTAACGGTAACAAACGATTACAATGCCACTTGGAAAGCAACGATAGGCTAGTAATAACTAACTGCACTAATTGAACTGTAAAACATAAAGTGTTGTGTTTTGGAATTTAGGATCGAAACACTCCCCATACAGCGAATGGTCTTCAAGTCCCGAAATGCGTTTCGTTATTGAATGAAACCTTCTTCTCCAACTCTTCTCTACATCTTCAATATGCTCTGCTGGATATGATGGCATCTGAACTTCTTGACTACTTTAACAGCCTCCCTTAATGGAGTGTACTAACTCCAAGCTTGTCAAGTAATTCTATGATTCGAAACCTGTTCAAAGCCTTTGTAAACAAGTCAACAACTTGACCATCTGATCTCACATAAAATAGCTTAATCAGGCCCGATTTGACTCTTCCTCTGGTCACATGAATATCAATTTTAATGTGTTATGTTCTTTCATGGAACACAGGGTTTTCAGCAGTATGAATGTCTGGTTTGTTGTCACAGAACACTGAGATTGGTAATTGAATATTCACACCAAGTTCTGCCAAGAGACCCTTCATCCATTGAACTTCACAAACCAGTTGAGCTAAAACTCTATATTCAGCCTTCAAGGAGAACTTTGACACATCGGTTTGCTTCTTTGCCTTTCATGTGATCAGAGAATCTCCAAGGAAGGTACAATAGCCACTTACTGATCTTCTGGAATCAGGGCAACTTGCCCAATCTGAGTCACTATAGCCTGACAGCTTCAATGAGGAAGTACTTTTGAAATAAATCATTGTTTGGTGACCCTTTCGTGTACCTCTAAACTCTGTAAGCTGCTTTGAGATGTTCTATGTAAGGATCCCTTTGAAACTGGCTTAGCTGCTGCATAGGGAATGCCAAATCTAGCGTAGTAGTGGTAAGGTAATGTAGTCTCCCAATGAGTCTCTTGTACATCTCAGGGTTATCGAGTGGTTCTCCTTTCTTGGCTCTCAATGACACCTTTGTATCCAGTGGTGACTTGCAGGGCTTGGCATCAAGGTAACCAGTGTCCTTTAATACTACAAACAATATTTCCTTTGATACACTGCAATCCCAGCACTTGTCCTGCTAATCTCCAAACCAAGAAAGTATATCAGGCTTTTCAAGTCTTTAATTTTGAATTCCCTATTGAGAAAGAGCTTCGCTTCTTCTACATCTCTTCTGTCATTTCCACCTAGGATAATGTCATCCAGATACACAAACAATACAACAATTCTTCCTTGAACCCATTTGGTAAACAAAGAATAATCTGAAACATATTGAGAGAAGACATGTTTAAGCAAGGAAGAAGTAAGTTTGGAAAACCACGGTTGACTTGCATGTTTAAGTCCATACATTGACTTTCTTAACCTACAAACCAACTTATCAAGACCATTAGCTCTAGCATCTCCTGGTGGTAGAATCATATACAGTTTTCTTCTAAATCACCATAAAGAAATGCATTTGAAACAACCATTTGATCCAAAACATATCCCTTAACAGCAGCCACAACTAATAAAGCCTTAACAGAATTGATCTTGGCTACAGGAGAATAGGCATCAAGGAAATCAATTCATATACCTATGTGAAACCTTTTGCAACTAGTATGGCCTTAAACCTCTCAACATCACATTTTGGTTTTGTGAACCCACTTATTACCTATGGCTTTCTTGCCCTTTGGTAATGGTACTACATCGATCCTGGTTGGCTTTTAAGGCATCTGGCTCTTCATTCATAGCATTCCAACAATGCTCATGTTGTACTACTTCCTCATATGTTTGAGGTTCAAGCTCAGAAGTTACATTCATGGCATAAATTCTCTCACGAGGTGGAAATTGATCATACTGTAAGAAATCATTCATGGGGTATTTGCTGGTACTGTCTACATATTAGTCTTCCAGCCTAACAGGTAACTTCCCCCTATTAGCTCCAACTGGCTGCCTTCATATTCCTCTTGAACTTCCAATACTGGAGGATCATCTTCTAAAGTATCAACAAGGGAATCATCATTTGAAGACTCAATTGGCAGGGAAGAACTAGGCGGGTCAGGTGTGACTTGTGCACCATCAATACCAGGGGGCATGCCCCCTTGATTCCTCATTGATAGAAGATTGGGGAGGAAAGAAAGCAGTAGAATCAGGAGCCAAGAGTCCTGGAGCAATAGGAGTAGGTTGTGGAGAAGAGGAAGAAGGGGAAGGTGAATCTAAGAGAAATTTTTAAGGAAGGATGTTTTCATAGAAAACAACATTCTTGGAGATGTATACTATATGTTATGCGAGGTCAAACATTATGTAGCCTCTAATCCAGTTGGATATCCAAGAAAAATACACAGGCAAGCTCGAGACTGGAACTTTGTTCTACCCTGAACAAGTGTAGCCAAGGCAACCAAACACCTTTAAATGGCTCAAATCTGGTTGTTTATGAAAAATAGCTCATAAGGGGACTTGTTCAGTAAAATTGGTGTGGAGAGTCTATTGATGAGATACACAAAGTGAAGAACACAGTCACTCCAAAACTTCAAGGGAATACGAGATAGAAATCGCAAGGCACGAGCAACATTTAAGATGTGTTGGTGTTTACGTTTCACTCTACCATTCTGTTCAGGGTATTCAACACAAGTAGTTTGGTGTTCAATGCCAGAATGTCTATAGAATACAATCATGTGAAACTCCTTTCCTTGATCACTACGAATCACTTTAACTTATTTACCAAACTGATTAGTAACTAAGGCACAGAAACCTTACAGCAAATCACGAGTTTCACCCTTATTATGAATGAGATAGATCCATACAGCTCAACTGTGATCATCTAAAATAGTTAAGAAATAACTATAGTCGGTCATCATAAGATTGAACAGACTAGGGGCCCCATATATCGACATGTTTTAAAGAGAAAGCCTCAACAGCTGAGGTATCATTAACATGAAAGGGAAGTTTCCTTTGTTTGGTTAGATGGAAAATATCACGGTTAGACATAGATTCATTATTAACAATAGAGTTCAGGTGTTTAAGTAACTGTAATCTATCTTTGTTAGGATGGCCAAGACGTCAATGCCAGAGATTAACATCATGGGATTGAAGATTGTAAGAGGAAGCAACATGAGGAGTTGTGAAAGACTGGTCTGGTAATGTGGTGGAGAGGGAAGTAAGGTGGTACAGTCCTTTACTTTGTTTTGCCAAACCAAAGCTCCTCTAGGTGTGATGGCCTTGAAGGTTACAGACATCTAAGTGGAAATGGAGATAAACTAGTGAGTCTTTGGTCAAGTAGTAGCACATGGGAGAGAAGAAGACCACATGCGAGTTTCATAGTACCAATGTGACTGACAGGAACCTTTGATTGATTTGGTAAGTAGACAAACACATCATTGACAGTGATACCATCAAGTAAAAAGTCAATGCTACAAGTGATGTGATCTGAGGCCCCGATGCCTACAATCCAAATAGCAGCTGGAGTCGAATTGCGCATCTCAACATGAGAAGAAAGAATGTACTTACCCTCATGATTGGGAATAGATGGTAAGTACTTGGTAGCAGAGAAAGCCTTAAGAGTTGTTCCTGGAGAAGTTGGACTAGTGTTCATGCCAAATTGGAGAAGATGCCTCAAACGAGCTAGATTACATGAGGATAAGTTGAGAGAAGACTTGGAGGGATTGGAGCTATCATCAGAGACAGTATTGGTATTGTCAGAAGAATGACCATCATGAGTAGCAGAACCAGCAAACCCATGTTGTGCCTTCTCCTTTCTTCTTCAGCTTCCAACAATCCTTAATAACGTGATCAGAACTCTTACAATAGTAAAAAAAATAACTTCTCAGAGTTATAATCAGACTTTCCCTTGTACTGGCCTTTACCAACTGCTGCCAAAGCAATAGATTGGCCACGCTTAGAGCTAGAGTCCTCCTTCAACTTCTGTTCATGGTGAAGAATGTCTTCAACATCAGCAGGAATAGTGGGTAGAGGTTTAAGCATGAGCAACTGCGTCTTGATAACATCATGATCCGGATGAAGGCCTCTGTTGAAGCGAATCAAGTAGTTTTCTCTTGTTTCCTCTTGAAAGCCTCCACTGCAGCACAAGCATTGGGATTGCCCGGAGCACACAGACAAGGTACAATAGGAGAGAATTGCAAGTAATCCTCCCAAAGACCCTTGACGTCATTGTAATATTGAGTAACAATGCAATCTCCTTGTTTGCGGGCCTGGATCTCATCCTCTAAATTGAAATGCGCCTGGCATTAGGTTGCCCAAACTGGTGCTTCAATTCGTCCCAAAGCAACGATAACAATGCCACTTGGAAAGCAACGATAGGCTAGTAATAAATAACTGCACTAATTAAACAGTAAAACATAAAGTGCTGAGTTTTGGAACGTAGGCTCGAAACACTCCCACATAGTGAATTGTCATCGAGTCCCGAAACACATTTTGTTCATAAAAAAACCTTCTTCTCCAGCTCTTCTCTGCATCTTCAATCTGCTCTGCTGGAGATGATGGCATCTGAACTGCTTGACTACTTTAACAATGTGTCCTTCCTAATATCTTAATTAAATGTCCACTTGATTGCAAATTAAAGAATGAACTACGTTTAGAGGTCAGTTTGCACCATGTGTTCAAATCTATCATACAGACGGCACCTTAATAATACAATTGCTGAAACCAATGGTACGTATTATTTCTGTTTTTACCAAAGGAAAGAAGACAACCAAAAGTGGTAAGAAAAAAACTAGAAATCGCTAATTCTGGTGTCTTGGTGACGATTTACACCAGAGTAGTAGGTGACCACGTCTACGTGCAGTCATGCCAGAACATTTTTACGTGGTGCTCGCAGGAAAAGGAAAAAAAGAAACATAGAATTCACAAAAATAAACCAATTTTTTTTCCTTCTTCTATTCTATATATCCAGTTGTTTTTCCCCTGGATTGTTTTTTCCCCGTTTCCGCAGGTGAATAATTCCGGAAATCTAGCGATGGTTGTCGGTACAAGCCCTCAACAATTCCTCCAAATATTCCGCTCCTAGATCCTCTAGCACCACCACATTGCTCTGCCCCGCCGCCGCCGTCGCTGTCGTAGCTGCACCTCCCAACAACTGCTTCCCCGGCGCCGGCCGCCGGTCCTTGCTCTTCTTACACGTTGACTTCCTCCGGACGGAGTGGCGGCGCTTCAGGGCCAGCACCGGCGAGCACCCGGCGTCGGCTTTTTGATCGTCGAACATCCCGCCGCCGCCGCCGCAGTTCATCCCTTCCAGCGACTCCCTCACCCTCTCCACCGGGAAGTTGAGCACCGCCATGGGTCCCCGGACGGCGAATGCGGCCTGGTCGTAGGCCATCGCCGCCTGCTCGGCGCTGTCGAACGTCCCCAGCCACACCCTCACCCCGTTCCTCGTCGAGTCCCTTATCTCCGCCGCGAACTTCCCCCACGGCCTCTTCCTCACCCCCCTGTACGCCGGCGACGACGATGACGACGGCGACGACGACGAGGATGACGTCTGCGCCGCCGCGTCGTCGGAGGTCAGCTCTTCCTCTCTTGCCCTGTCGTTGGACTCGGAGGAGTATTGGTGCGAGAAGAACGGTAAGTCGGCTCCGCCGGCAGGGATCATCGGCTCTTCCGCCGCCGCCGCCATGATTTCGTCGGCGGGGAAAGTGGAATCGTCGGGAAGCGTGAGGAAGTCATCCCAGCAGCTGGAGCTGGTGAAAGAGTCGAGAGGAGATGATGATGACGTGGATTCCGGCGGGGAGAAATAGTACTCGAGCTCCGATTTTGGAAACTGATCGTCGGAGTAACTGTTGTGGAAATTCCAAGCTTCCATTTTCGCCCTTGTTTCGCGGATGGCAAGTGGAAAACAAGGAAGTTAAAAGAGAGGATCCTTTTTTTTTTTCTTGCTTGCTTGCTTTCTTTTTTTGTGTTGTAATGACGATGGAGTTTGAAGAATTGGATCACCAACGCCCTTTATATACCCTGTTCAACAATGGACACCACCAGACGGTCTTTGATCCAATACTCCGCATTCAAATTTGGGTTTTCGTTTCTTTTTAACGGAAATCTTAAAATACTGTTAAACAACATCAAGTGGTGTTAATAACAATTAAAAAAAATGTGATATTAATTCTTTGAGAACAAAGTATTTTGATATTGACTAAGGGCTACCCCTACCAGACCTAAGCTAACAATAATTAGTAATTTCTTCAACTAAAGAGTCGGCATCTAGAAACAGTGGCAGTGCAATGAATACTGCTCCTCTTGCCTGCGATGTAGTAGATCACGACAAAGGGAAAACATAGTTTAGCTAAACAAAACGTTCATTTCTAAAATTTACAAATACAAAGGTTAGCTAAACAAACTCTTTGCAAACTGAAGGGACAAAATAAGGGGTCGTTTGGAAGTTGCGATAGTTTTGTTGAGATTGTCATTATGCATGTATTGTTTACAATGCATCGTTTTTTTTTGTTTTTTTAGCAGAAACAATACATGGATTGTTTCTGTGATGTGACAGAAACTATCACTCATTTTGAGTGATTGTTATATCTCAACTTTTAGTTGTGATTGTTGAGATAGTTGAGTTGAGATTGTTTTGTCTCAGCTTTTAGCTAATGCGACATACACAATAACACATACCAAACGTTGTATTCTACAATGCATCAAATTCGACAATACATGTATAATATTATACATGCATTCTCAACAATACATCTATTTAACAATCGCAACTTCCAAACGACCCCTTAAATGAAAGTATGAAGCAAAATCAACTAAGTAATGACAATTGGTCGACTCGTTAGATAATTTGATCCAATTGTCATGATTCATGTGAAAATTGGATTGGACTCAAATGTATTTTTTAATGATTTTATATTTTAGTTGGATTTGAATGGTATCCAATTTGGGTAAACTCTTTTGGGTTAAACCCAAATAGATCTAATTGGGTCGAGATGATCATATAAAAAAAGATAAATATTGACCATCTCATTAACTGCCTTAAACCCACCTACACTTTTAATGCGTGTCCAACTTTCTGTTTGTTTCTTAACAAAATACAAGACAAAACTGCATTATAATTGAGTATTCGTTTTCTTCTGAAAATCTAATGATATGACTCCAATTTAGACCCAAACCCAAAAAATTGGGTAGCTAAAATGTTGGGTATGGATCTACCCCAAATGTAAAATTACTGAAATTAAACCCGATTTGCCCTATAATAAATTGAATTTAGAGAATACTCAAATATTGGGGTTTTCTGTCATCCCTAACTACACAATAGGAGCCGGTGAGATCCTCTCCAAACAAGTTCCTTGTAGGAAAGAACATAAGAGCAGAAGTTCCCCCATGAAACTCTATACCCATGTTTGCCCACAAAATCACGGCTTCGTTGTGGGTGCTAAAGATTACTCACAAACCAAGACCAACATAGGCATCCAACTTTGACCAGGGATGAGTATTAGGTTGTTGAGAAAATCTACTATATCTTCCAAGTTGATGCGCTTTGTGTGAAGCAGAAGAAGAGACAGAAAATCACATCTTCATCAGCTACAACTTTTTTTTTTTTTTTATAATGGTGAAAATTTATTAATAGGGAAACAAAGTAACAGACATACATACAAGACCAGGGCTCAAGAGGACTGAGCAGCCTGAAAAGAGAACAAAAAAACTGAAAACAGGAAAGCAAAAGAGAGTGGAAGGCACAGTTAAATGGATCGGACCATTCCTACTGTGAAGAAGACAAGGAAGAAACACCTACACCTACTACAACAACACCTTCAACAAGCTGAAGATGAACTGGTCCAAGCTCCTAAAGTCGAAAGCGAGCTGCAAGACACAAACAGAATCAGAGAAAAAACAGAGGAAAAAAAATCAGCTGGTTGTGGAGAGGACTCTTCTCCTCTGATCTTTGAACCATTGGCGTCCCTCTTCTTTGGTGGTTTACCCAATGCAATATGCCATTCAAGCAGATATATCACCCAGCACCATCAGAAGAACGAAACAACACAACTCGCTGCCCGCCATCAAATTCACAGACCTGCAACCGCAAACCCAGTATCACCAATCACATTCCTCCTACAACATCCCTTAACCATTGATACTCCTCATCTTCTTCTGTCTTGCCGTGTGCAACGATCCACTCCACCGCTGAACCTGCAGCTTTCTTGGCCACTACCGAAGGAGGTAGCCACGTTTCCTCAAACATTCGATGATTCCTCTCAATCCACACTGACCACCAAATGGCATGAAGGAGACAGCATATGAACCAATTAATGGCTCTCTCCTCCTTCTCAACAGGCCACTGGGAGATGATGCTCCTGATATCCCCATCGTGTCTCGGTAGTGCCACGCCCCTGTCCGCCATCTTACTCCATATCTTACTCCATACTTCTTCCACAAACGAGCATTCAACCAATATGTGAGAGGTTGTCTCTTCATTTCTTTGGCATAGGCAACACCTGTTAGCTAGGCTGATTCCTCTACGTTTCAGATTATCGATTGTAAGCACTCTGTTATGGAACACGAGCCAAATGAAGAAACAAATTTTACTAGGAACCACCATCTTCCATGTTTGATTTGCTGGAAAGTCTTGCACCCCTCTGAACTCCTCCTTTGCCAGCCAATTATACATGGATTTCACCGAGAACTTTGAGTTGGCCTCCAATTTCCACATCAACCTGCATGGACTAAATCTGTTCCTGGAAAAATCAAAGGAATGCAGTAAGTTTAATAACTCTCTCCTCTCCCTCTCAGCCCCACCCCTCAGAGTAAAAAGCAGATTCAAATCCCAACTCACCCCCTCCCCATTAAAGGATACAGTATCGGACACCCTAGCTTCAGGGTCAGAAGCAGCAGCAGCAACTCGGGGAAAAGAAGCAGCAAGAACCACTCCTGGGATCCAGCAATCGTGCCAGAACGAGATCTGAGTGCCATTACCAGGTTCCAAGCAAGCAACATTGATAGTAATGACATTAGTGCGTCATATATTACAAACAAAATCATGTTGTGGCGGCCTTGCCAAAATCCGGAGGATCCCGGACAATGGTGTACCATGGTGTTCTTGCACACATACTACTACTCGAACATTTGGCTAGAAAGAAATGTAAGAATTTTGGATGAGAAAGTGGCATCAACAGGGCTGGTTGTATATAGGATTGGGCAGGCAATCTCTGGATGGCTGGTAGCTGTGCAAAAAGCGGAGAGGGGAATGGTAGTTGAATGGCTAGTAACGATGAGAACAAGGCTTCTTCCCATTGCAGAGCATAGTTTAAGAAACATTTCAAGAGGAAAGACAATATTGATGATACAGAGCATTACAAAAAAATCTATCAAAATCTCAAGTTATCCTTCCTTTTCATTTTTGAAATAATATCTTCTCAAAATGATGGTTACTGAGGATCATTTCAAATTCAATTGTTTTCATGACCGGAAACCTATATCATATGTCCATTGTCTTCTATGATCCCTCGTTTACTAGTCTTGTTTACATACTAATTTGGTTATTATACAAGATTTTCTTCATTTTAGTCTAAAATAATGTGAATTGTAGTGTATGTTATGAACTCACTAAACCCACTACCGCCCATCAATATGGAATCTCACCCAACAAAATTCACACACAAGTACATACTTGGGTGAGTGTGAATCATTTTCTCATTTATCCACCATACTAATCCGCATAAAATCAAAAATTGATCACCCCTTAACTTTGACTACCTATCTTATCATGCAATAATACAATATGGTACTAACATATTGGAATTTCTTACTTCAAAATATATTAAGTTGGATATTGTTGTATATATTAGATTAGATAAAAATAAAGAGATTTTGCTAGTTAATTTCTCTACCGAGGTGTAATTAGATTATATCCTTCTTTTTTGGGTCAAAATTAGATCCTTCCCTGTGCTTCTAATTCATTTCCCGCATTACCCTTTGTCTAATTTTGGATGAACAGTGTTATCACATGGATATAATTAAGGATACCTAATAATAGTTCATTGTCAAAGGAAAAAGGGTTGAAAGTTGAAATGACGGATGAAAAAGGCAAGAATGCGAAAGGAAAGCAAGGGATTGAAAGGGAGAGGTTGCGAAATTTCAGACAAGGTGGGATGTCTTGGGACAAAACCGCAACAGCAACCAAAAAATTAAATATTAACGAAATACAATATGAAAAATTACCGGAAAACAAAAATGGCTAAATAAATAGGGACAAGTGGAACATCTATGAGGTTGAGGCCTGAGGGGGTCAGCGCGGGGTGGGGTTAACCCACGTGACCTTGATGACGTACGGCGGCGGTAAGGGTCCCACACTTACCTCTTCTTTCATGCACTATGTCTTGTCACCATTTTTTACTGGCCGAAGAAGATCCGTTGCAAAAATTTGTAAACAAAATAAGATTAATTATGTGGCTAAATTACACGTTTGGTCACTCGAATTACATAAATCTTTCACGTTTGTCACCCAAATGATTTTTCTTTCATATTAACCACTCACTTTACAATTCGTTTCACCGTCGGTCACCCTCCGTCAGTCTCCGTCAGACTCTGTTAACGCCGTCATATTTTTAATGACGTGGCATACGAAAGTGCTGACTGGGCTGACAGAGAGGTTGAGATTGA